TCTGATTGGCCGAGCTTTCAACCGAAAAATCTCTCATGAATTTACTGAGAGGGGTCTTTCCTGTGAAGGGGGAAGGGGGGGGGGGGAACTGCACACATTATCTAAGCTTTTCAGGGGATAGGTTAAGTCAGGCAGATGCAAAAGTGGCATCTGGTGCTGAAGGAAAAATCTGCAGATTTTGAATCTCCAGATCTTGGCAGCTCTGCTTATATTCACTAATAATTATTAACTACAACCAGACTTTTTTTAGAATTTTTTCTTTGCAGCCACAGCTGATGTTTATTGGAATAAAGGTAATGAGACCTTCAAGAAAGGAGATTTCATCAATGCTATTCATTTTTACACCAAAGGGATTAAAATGAACTGCAATGACAAAGAACTGAAGGCCAAACTGTACAACAACAGGGCTATTGCACATTTTAAACTTGGTAAGATGATGAGAGCTTTAATATACATTTTTTTCTCTTTTGAAGCTATTGGGCTGTTAATAGTAGATTTCTCAAAAAGGTGATAATTTTGAATGTAGGCCTTGTCTTGGCCTCTTAAACATACAAAGAAGTAACCTCTTACCCCAGATATCAATGAGTACCACAAGTTGTTCCTAAAAATTGTTGTAATGGTGGTTGGTTAAAATGCTACATGTATGGCTAATCAGAGATATTTATTTCAATAACAGGAAATCACCAGTATATTCACTAAGGGATACAGAAGCAGCCATTGAGTTAAAAACTGCAACTTTCCTTGAGGCAATTATGAGAGGTTAGATATGATAGCTGTGCTATAATAATAATAATAATAATAATAATAATAATAATAAAATAACTCAACACTCTAAGGTCAAATGAATTTCAATCTTGTCTCGATTGACTTTAATTAAGAAGTTGAGACCAACTTGATGTGCATTTGAATCCAGCTCTTGACTGCTATGCCGTTACTTTCCATTAATTATGATGAGAATATTATTTTGAGCTGGATGAATTAAGAGCTCAAAGCAGAATGCAAAGCAAAATTTCAGCACGAGTATTTTAGTTCCCTAAGCTCGATGAGCAAGGTCAAGTGGTGTCAGATATGTTTAGTCACTATCTAGCTGTTTTAAAAAGAAATAAGGATCAGGACTTACCTTCACTCAAACCTGTAAGAAAACTTTCCTCATTCGTCAAGTATATCAGGAAGTCACTGGGCTTATGGGGTAGAGCCACCTTACTTACAACAGTATTTAAAAAATAATAAGTGCTGTGAATGTGTAGCTTTGCCAATACAGTGTTTATTTATAAGTAAAAACTCCTGCATTTTTGTCTTGAAGCTAAAAAGATTTGACAAACTAGTGAATGAAACAACTCTGTGATCACTGCCCAAGGATCAACAGTGGTAAATCTTGTCTTCATCTTGGAGACACAAACAAAATAAAACACGATGGATATCGGAGGCTAATGACACCAAAACACCTTATTTTGCAGATCTTCTTCTTAAACTTCGTCCGCCATTTTGGATTTCCCTGGTGCACATTTGATTTGAAATGCGACTGCAGAAGGTGTTTCACATGTTCTTGTATTTACATACAGGGAATAAAACTGGGAAATACTCAGGGTCAGTGGGAACTAATTCCACCAATAGTTTTATACCAGAAGCATGGTTCATGGTTGCCGCAAGTTCTGGGAAAAGTCAGGGATATAAAGATTTCCTCAAGGTCAGAGAATATACATCTTTGAAAGAAGTCTGGCAAAATTTGAAATAATTATCTTGCATTTTAATTGGACCCTTTATGATTATGTTACGTTTACAAAAATTGAGAGATAGTATATGCCCTACTTCTCATGAAAGTTCTTATCTGTAACTCTGGCTGTAAGCATGACTTGTTTGCAGTTGCTGTCATATTCATTACTAAATAAAATGATGAATACTACAGAGAGAGCTGTTGTTATGCTTCTCTTCGCAAGGAGATCCTCAAGGATCTCTGCAAAAAAAAAGCATGCAATGTTCTTTGCAGCCAGTTTTTGATGTAACACCAGGAGACACAATTGATCTTGATGGCGGTAACATTATGCACTCCTCCATGTTAAAAGGACTAAAACTTAGTCATGACTCATTCTCATGAAGATACTGTTAAATTTGAAAACCCTAAAAAAGCCCCTACAATTTGAAAACCGTCAAAGATCCCCTACCATGCATCTTCTGTGCTCTTGCTTTCAGTGCTTCCTAATGATCACAACAGAGACATAGCTGAAAGAAATTGGGTAAAACTGACATGATCTTGTTACAGTAGGCCAAACAAGGACACTGAGAAACCTTTAATCTCTAAAGTACTTCATATGTCAATCACTGTGCAACAGCTTGACAACTGATCTGCCATGGGCGGCATGCAGAATGAAAAGACAATAAGAAAAATCCCCCCCCCCCATCCCTGACATGGTGTATTGAAGTATAGAAAAATCTGACAGAACTTGAATCTCTGTTTACAAAATATAAACAAAGAAAAGACAACATGAAACAATTTCCCCCCTAACCCCAACATGGTATCTGTAGAAACTAGTATGCTTTAGGTATTCCAGACACAATTCTATGTATAATACAGAATTGTGTCCAGAATACCTAAAACAAAACAAAAAGGAAATCAACTGAAAAACACTCATAATTTAACACATTCAATGCTAATAATATAACAATAAGCTTTTCAAGGAGTTTTGAATCTAAAATCGTTTTCACTTTTTCTTCACTTTAACTTTCAATTACACTTGTCATAATTTGTACCCACTAATTAAATGTCATGGAATGTAATGCAATCCAGTACATCGCAACATCAAAGTTATTACCTTCATTGCTAATTGCCATTCCAATATTTGAAAATGCTAAACAAATGCATTCATATTCTTTTCTAGCATATACTTCGTACAGCTTTAAATGACGTACTTACTGTGGAACAAAACAAGTTCACCAACATCATTTACCATGGAAATCTTTCCCTTCACATTGTTCCTAGAAAAAGATGAACACTGTCAGCAAATGACATGCATTATGGTAAAACTTAATACTTTCCCATTTTTGACAGATGTTTTCCAATGAAAATTTCTTTTTAATCTTGCTGTTACTTGAAAACACAACTTCAATTGTCTAATACCAAAAATATTTTTCACATTCATAAAATCTTAACATACACTCTATGGAAATTTGAGCCTGTCAGCCATTCACATGCATAACATGAATTTATTACAACGTGTTCAATCTCATTTAACCCTTCTATAGGCAGTTCACAGTCATGCTTTATCTTTCAGTTCTAATAGACTCCTTCTTTTGCTCTTACAAAGGACTACAACACTTGAAACATCAGCTTTAGAAATTCTTTACAGAGACCTATTTACATTATCAACTCAGTTAATGAAACCAGATAATCTCTTTCTAACAGTCTCTGCTTTTTTTCTGATTGCATTTTTTAATGTAAATGGCTTTAGTTTTATGAACTCAAACCAAGTGCAGTAAAATCACTTTTATTAAATCCACTTGGTTTTAATTTTACAAGAATATCACAAATCAAGCAGTATAAAATAAACTATTTGTTTCTAACTTACACTCACAGGATGAATGGTTTGGCAAGCTTGAAAACAGCTTTCAGGGTGAATTTATGCCTTTAAAATGATGCAAAAGTTCAATCCTTCAAAGAACCTGCAGAAAAAAAGCCATGAATGAGACATTACAGTTTAATTTATATCATTTATTTACTAAAATCTGTCAGATAAAACCATAGCAAATAATTGTAATACATCCACTGATATAAAAAGTTATCAGCATCATAAGGTGCTTTTCTGACTTTGTTGATTTGGTTGCTAATATTTGAAGTAGGTAAATGTTTCCATCAGTACAAACTTCTCTTACCTATTTTTTAATAGTTTGTAAAATGTCTTTGCCAATTGAATTGAACAAAGGTTTGCACCATCATCCTCTCCATGGATAACAACTGTGAATTTGTCAGTGACAAGAGTTTTCTTGATGTACTCTTCTGCATTTCTGAACTTCAGAGATCAAACAAAGATGATTAACCCACATGTAGTTAATGATTGGTAATACAAGATGTAAAATCTTGGATTACAGGAAACAAAAAAATTTACCTCAATTTCAATGCATTTTGCACAACAAGGAATAACTGAATTGTATATAACCATCATGTGAGTATCTACACTGCACTTTCAACTGGATCCCAAATATCCTGAGCAGAGTGTGCATCTAATTACCACCTTAAAAAGTCTTCTTTTGGATAACATAGTCATTAACATAGTTTAGTCATTAACATAGAATTAAAGAAATACTCTCACTTATGAGCTGAGATTGTCAGTAAGCATCTTTGATTTTGACCTTTGGAACAGTTTTGATACTAAAGGTACCTTCCTAGCATTCAAAAGGAAAACATCATTGCCTGATTCATCACAGTGATCTGAATAAAGAAATATTTAAAGCTCCTTTCAGAAAAGATTATCATACCACTTTTAAGACTTATTTTCTTAAACTACATGAACCAAAAACTCAAGCCCTTGTGATTTCAATCACTCACCAATTTTTGTGAAGAAAGAGCTGACATCATATTCATCACAGGTAAGATGAGATTGTTCCAAAGCAATGCGATCTTCTTCAACCTGTGAGTCTGCATGGTTTGAAAAATTTTGGTTAAATAGTGACATTTCCTTTTAATTAAATTGTAGTTAATTCATCAGAGGAAATCCTTAAATTAATTATCCATTAATTATCTCAATTAACCCAGACAATCACACAACTTTTCACACACCTTGCAGTTGCAATTTCATGCAATACAAAATGGTTAACATAAAAAAAACCTTTCACCTTTAGGTATTTTATCTATCATTCATAGGAAAATACTCATCAGATATGAGAGCTTACTGTCAGTAAAAGGACACTCCTACATCATCATTTGGCAAATGAAGGTGAAAATAAAATTAATAAAATTTAATGAATGAATATACAAAATTAAATAAATCAAAGGTTCTTTTATACCAAATGCAAGTTCCATTGAACTTTCTACTTCCAATCTTCTTTCCACTGGGCTCAGGTGATGATGGGGACTGGGGAGGTTGATCAACAGGGGGGTCAGAGCTTTCCTGAACAAGCACTATGAAGAGGTCAAATGGTTGAAAATTTGAATGTTTATTTTTATGTTTAGTAGATATGCAAACATTCACAGAAAATTCCTTGATTATTCCCCATGATAAAACATCAACTATATTTCACTCATGGCGAGGTTTATACTGAGTCTACAAATGCATAATAATTGCAGATGACTCTTTCTTCAGCTTAACCCTATTTAACATGTTCCTTCTTCCTGTAATATTCACTCATTATCCAGCAAACAGGTAGTGAGAATTCTCAAACTTTGTATCTGGTAGAACTTTTTACCTTGATCTAATCAAATACTCATAACTAATTTACAAGGAAATGTATAGCAGCTAATAGGGAGAATTAACATTCAGATATTTAAGTTAAAGGGTTAAAACACTGGCAAATTTTACAAAAGTTAACTATCCTAAGTAATAACAGATTGAGAGAATATTCCAACTGGAATATACAGAAGGCTAACTGCAGCCCTTGGCTGAACTACTTGCAATAGAACATACTCATTAAACAGCAGTAATTACCTTCTTGACTGGGGGCATCAATTGCTGGGGAGGCCTTGTATTTCTGAGCTGGAATTGGAGTCCCTCCTCCAGGCTCAAAGACTGCATTAAGACAAAAAGTTAACTACCCTAAGTAAGTACAGATTGGGATAATATTCCACCTGGGTTATAAAAGGCTAATGGTAACCATGGCTGAACTTATTGCAATAGAGCATACTTTTGTCTAATGAAACAGCAGTAATTACCTTCTTGACTGGGGGCATGGACTGGAGTTCCTCCCTCAGGCTCATAGACTGAAGTAAGACTCTCACTTGGTGTCACTTCACTATAGGATGATGTCAAGTTTCCACACACATTTAAAGATGATGCACTTCTATTACCAAAATCTTTCTCTGACTGTTTAGTGCTGCTTGATACCCTAACAACAACGTCCCCCAAGCTTGATGCAGCAATTTCTATTATTCTCTCAATGTAAAGGTCAAGCTGCTGTTCATTGATTTTCATTGAGTCCCTTGAACTGGGAGTAGCATTCTGAAAGTAATAAATCATTATAATTATTTCTTAGCTGAAAAACTGTGAAAGAGAAAAGTATAAATATTAACTTCCCATTTGCTGTTATAATATTAATGACGATGATTAATTAAAAAAGGCATTTGCATGTTATGATTGAATCTTTTGATACAAATTGTTTCTGAAGCACAGCATGCACTACACTTATTTGAAACCCCATTTGAAGCCAGCCGTACATACATTAAATTCTATATTTAAACTCAAGAACATGGTACTTGATAGGCTCCTAGCTTTAAGGCAGCCAATGCATCAAGTTTAAAATGAAAACAAATTAAATGTTTTTTACATATTTAAAAGGAGAAAAGTCACTTAAGAAAAGTAAAGTAGAAACTTTTACCCTGGTCTTGATTCCTTTAGAGGTTCAAGTAGTTCATGTATGATATACACACTAAATCTTAATTCTTTAGAGTTCTGTCACAATATACAGACTGGTAAACCAAAAGCTGGTAAATCCTTATAGGTTCATGCATATTGGACTCAAAGAGATTTGATAAACAGGGTTTGAAAATAAGGAGAATCTAGTGCACTTTAGACAAGGTTAGTTAGTTTCCAATTGGGAAATGTTGAAAATATGCTAAAACGTGCGCCATTGCAATGTGTAAAATAATCCAACTGCGCTCTTTCTTGAAAAGGTAGATTATCGCATTTCTACGATAAAGAGACCCTCACCATATAAATTGAGTGTCCAGCAATGCGACAAAGAAACGGCCGCCATACTGAAGTGAACGTTTGAAGAAAATGAACAAGCAGCTGAAGATTTCTTTCCTCTCTATCGATCACTTAGAGTTCTCCTTCACGTTTTTGGACAGAGACACTCTGTCCAATACTCTCTAATACTCTCCTTTCATAACGTCTGCCAGACGATCGATTGGGATCGTTAGAAAAGTTCGCCATGTTTTAGCCATAAATTTATTCCCTGCCCCTCCCCTGTAAAGACAATGTTTTGACTCGTAACCAGGGTCCACGCCGTGCCCTGACACTTTTCTTGAGAAGATTCCTTTTAAGCAAAGGGTGGCGATCATCCCCAAAAAATTGAAAAAGTTATTTCAAACAAAAAGAATAACGAATGAGATTAGCAATTCAGTATAAACGAAACCTCGCTAGTAAATAAGTCTCCAGCCTGTAAGCGCGCGCAAAAATACCGCACTATAGCACAAAAACCTTCTTGTTTAGATATTCCATCTTGCAATGTTTTCCATAGTGCTATGTTGTCTTGAAAATAATTTTAATATTACTTTTAGCTAACCCTTTCCCATTATTCAGCTATTTATTCTTGGCGTCAAATTTCCTTGCGTTTACATCTGGTCCTTCATTCCCTACGCTTTGTCTCTTGGCTTCCTCTTCCAACACATATGAATTCTCCTTTTTCTTCTAATATAAAGACAACTCAACTTTATGTATGCAGGAGCCCAAAGGCCTGGCACACGACAAATTCCGAATGTGTCCGACGAAATATAGCTAGGATCTTATTTTAACAACCCTAAGTACAAAAAAATTAACAACGAATAGTACTCACGTTTACAGGGCTCATCTCTTTGATTGCTTCCATCACTTTCTTGAATTTTCCTCCGAATGACTTATGAAGCGCCTAACTCCAACCAACGGAAAGTTATAATGACGGGTTGTAATTTTCGCGCGTCGTGATGACGTAACAGACGAGATAATAAACCAATCAACAGATTAGCAAGTAAACGTAACTTCTGCCTCGTTTTCAGGCGCCTTTACACTGGTTTAGGAAAGCGCGGGAAACTGACCGAGTGCGCAGACTGCTGTATAGGAGGATATTGATAGATTTTAATAAACGTTCGCCCATTGACTGCCTCAGGCTCTAATTTACTCAAAGCGATTGCAAAAGCAACGGACAAGTCCAAGAAAAGAGACTGAGAAAGATCGGGAGCTTATCAGGAAAAATAAAGTAGTGCGTCGTTTTGCAGGTAAAACAGCGTAGGGCTGTCGGTTGCTTTGGCCACCACGATGCGCTGACCACCGACCGCGAAAATTTAACACAGACTTCTCGCAAATGAAGGGTTCTGGATAGAAGAATGAGAGATCGGGAGCTTTCCAGGAAATAATGAAAAGAGCGCGTCCTCCCGCAAGAAAACCAAGTCTTCAAGCAAGCTGTTTTGTCGTTGATGCTTAGTTTGCTTGCGAACATATGAAAATGAGAGAAACATATGAGTGCTAAGTTCTGCTTCGTAAGTAGCATGAAACCACTTGGCTATAAATTAACGATCGTTCCTCGCCAAAAGTAAGCTTCGCTCATCCGACCCGTGAATGATAGAAAAGAGATGATATTAAACCTTTGACCACAAGAAGTGACCATTAAGTAAATTTTGGTCACAAGTTCATTACACAGTTTGAAGGACAGGCAATGAAAAGACAAAAAGTGACTAAGCTGGATTGAAGCTTGGATATCACAACAAATTGTCGATATCAAAAGCATGGAAATATATATAGGGCACCAGATATGAACATCCATTTTCAGATGCTGGGAGTGAGTACGTAGCTTCCAAAAACTGGAAAGGTTTTTAGAAAGTATTTCACTTTGGATATCATGGTTCATTTTACCTGATCCGTAAAACATTCAACGAGGTGGCTCTTCTTGTCCACTGACACAAATTGTCAATAAACAATGCAGGTAAACGTAGAGTTTAAAAATCTCAATTGGCCGGAGGCAAACCAATCGGCTATAGACAAAGTGCAGCCAAGGAGTTGAGCTCGAGCAATCGAGAACAAATCCAGTAAGTTGCAGGGTAAAGGACTTTAACCTGGAACCTAGTGCCTTAATCACTCGGGCACCCAAGATCAACGCTGTTATTTCTGTGAGTCGTGACGTTTGTTTTCCTAAACCAATTCACACGCAACACACGCCCTCTAGTATCAGGCTTCAGGAGTTTAGTGTTTCATTTCACGTCATTTTTCACCTCAAGCGAACGCCAGATATTTTGTATTGTACTGTTTTTTTTTTCTTCCCACCTACCCTCCCACCCTCGGTGATTTTACGTGATGTCATAGGGTGGCAGAGAGGTTTACTCAGCACATCATTGGCTGTTGTTTACTTTTCGTTCGTATTCTTAATAAACTTCTCTCTGTGCCGAAAAGCGAATTGTGTTTTATTTGTGTCAGGGAGCGTAGTTGGGGAATAAGTTTCTTTTGGGAAAGGCTTTTCAACGACGATAGGAACATCCTTTGCAACCGCATTACTTTGGAAGGAAAGAAAAATCACAGGGTGCCCACTCTCGTCCTAGGAGCTACTCGTTTTCTCTCATTTCGAACATGAGGAATGCTTGTGGATTGTGTTTCTAAGACTTACCTCATAAGTTAAGCGTTTAGGGTAACAAGGAAACATGTAAAAATACTGGGAAAAAATGTCAAAATAATAAAAGTAATTACATAAAGTAAAGCAAATAAAATCGTATAAAAGTGAGAGAATAATGTTATGTGAAGCGCTCGAGAAGTATTTTAGTAATGTTAAGGTATATGTATACGAAGTATGCTAAGTTTTTTGGAGGTTTCTACTCCAAGTGCAGTCTATTGAAGTATATTTTGGTTGCTTTTGGCCTCGCACCAGCGGCAAGCATTATAATTAACAACGTATGAATAAATGGGCTTAGTTTCTAAGGAAACTGTGGTGCTGCGTTGGTGAGACGACAAGATAAGAACACAACAAGATAATTTGGTTTATAATCCAACTGCACAAGGTAGAGTTCAAATAACGCTAATATATGTATACAGGAAATGTGTACAGTTAGTTATTTTGTACTGTAAAAAAACCTGTTTAACCGGTCGGCTGCGCACGCTGCGCTTCTCTATCCACTTTGCTTTTCCCGCCTTATTAGAAATGAGCGGAAAGACTTGGCAGAAAAAAAAAGCAGTTGGATCATAAATAACTTATTGGTGTGTAGCATTGCTTAGTATTTTTACTCCTTGTATGTATATTGACGAGCCTGTGGGGCAAAGCAAAATACGGCACATTCGTAAAAATACTCAGGTATGTCACCGCCATATAAAAATATCCGAGAAATCCTTGCAGGAAAAGAAACTGGAAACGTATCTCCTGAACCAGCGCGGTACCACTTACCCTCCGGGCTCTAAAGTCCTCTAAAGGATATGCAATCAAAAAATGAGAATAAGATAAATAATAGTTTATGTTCACGTTGCAGCAAAATTTTTGTGGATATATTCCGAGACGAATTTGTTTCTGATATTAGAAAGACTTACCTCTCATGTTTTATGTTAAGAGTGCCAATGAGAGCATGTAAAAGTGAAATAAAAATAATGTAGACGTTCCTGCAGTTAACTGACGAGGATTGCTAACTTTTATTTGATTCTGGCGTGTAATTGACTGTATTGTCGCTTCGTGTTACTTATGGGCTAATAAAGCTAAGCTTGTTTGAACAAGTTACAGATGTCGAATTCACAAAAATTCGCAGGCAATACCTGGCATTTACTTTGGACAAAATAAGTAATCCGGGAGAGTTAAAGGGGATATCCAAATTATCCATTTCATTCAGTGCAGGCGCTGTTGATCGAAACACTTTCAGTTTCATCTGCGTGTCATATGGAGCATGTACACAATCGTGTTTGGCACGAACTTTCCATGTCGGGCTTATATATGTATTAACTTAAGTTGCTCCCGTGTTTGCCTTGCATTTGATCAAAAAACGATAAACATTTCCTGCGTATTTTATGTGTTTTTGTTGATTATTTAATTGTTTGAAAGTAATCTTTTCTTTTTAATAGACTACTTAGATTGTCCTTCTAAAGTGTGCTGATGTACTGATTTCCTCGTTAACCATTGAGACAAGTTGATTTTTCTTCGAATGTCAACCAATGATTTATTGCAAGCGTCTTTTCAATTAACTGTATTCGATTTTTTTCTAATCCAATTCATCAACTGGTAATGAGTGATTGGTGTCTGAGGAAAGTTTTACCTTTTCGGTCATCTGCTAATCAATACCAATCAATAAATGATCAATCAACTGGTTTAGTTCTGCATGTGGCTGCACGCATCCAAGTATGTCTTTGGTGATAATTTATGTTATTACATGACAAGGTAGTCTTGAGGTAAATTCGAGAATTTAAAGCAAAGTGCGGCTTAGCGTCGGTTTCACGGGGAAGATTGAGTTCGAAGCGAATTGAAATGAAACTACGGTATATGTGCTTGGTTTCTGCGTTGGATTTGTGGCCGCCCGATCATTTTGAGCTTGGATTTTCGCTTCTCAGATCGGGCGTTCGGAAATGGAGTGTGCTGCCTCAGGCTTCTCTTATGTAGTAAACTTAGAAGTGGATAACTCGCTAAAGTGGTTTCTTTTTAACATAGTAAGCGGTCAGATAACAAGCGTTACACTGAGGAAGTAAGGTGAGGCATTTTTATTGAAAATTTGACTACATTTTTTTATTCCTAAGAGCGGTCGTAAAAATTCCTAGAGAGACTATTAAAATTTCACCATGACTCTTATTTCGCAAGATGATCATCTCACAACTGGAGCTTGGGCTGCCTGTGGTGTGAGTTCAGATAAATTAAGTTTTTTTTCTTTCTCTTAGGGTGAAGTAACGCGATATTTTCATCCGTTTGAAAGTCATGCTCTTTTTCTGTTACAAAAATGAAAACATTAGGTACACAAAGTGTCCCATCTCAACTCGCCCATGTTACGCATACTTATGTTTTTATAAATGATGTCATGGATCAGGGGCTGTGTACAAAAAAAGGCATGTACCAGAAATCCTGGGCTCATTTGATAAGTGTAGTGGTTTGTGGCCTTCGCGAGAGCCTCGTTGATTAAGGTCAAAATTTATCGGGATATGAAAGGTTTGCATTTCATTTTTTGTATCATTTTTAGGTTAAACGAGTATTTACGGCTCTTACTCACAACGAACACGCCTAACAACTCACGTTTTATCACGAACCATTTTTCTGTTACAAAAATGAAAATATTCGGTACACAAAGTGTCCCATTTTAACCCACCCATGCTACGCATACCTATGTTTTTATAAATGATGTCATGGATCAGGGGTCTGTGCACAAAAAAAGGCATGAACCAGAAATCCTGGGCTCATTTGATTAATGTAATGGATTGTGGCCTGCGCGAGAGCCTCGTTGATTAAGGTCAAAATTTATGGGATATGAAAGGTTCGCATTTCATTTTTTGTATCAATTTTAAGTTAAACGAGTATTTACGGCTCTTTTACTCACATTGAACACGCCTTACAACCCACGTTCCATCATGTACCATAAAAACAACGTCCAAAGTCCAATCAGAAAAAACTCAATCATTGCAAAACATGAGCATTTGGCAATTGTTCACGTGCTTGAATTGTACTCCACCAATCAAATTCACATCTACGCGCGTCCGTGTATTATTCTCCATTTATGACTCATTTCTTGGGGGAAGTCCACAATGTATTACATCATCAACTTCTGGTTTTCCTGAAAATGTTACGCAACGGTAAAAACATCGTTATGGTCGTGAAATAAAAAGTGAGTCATTTGTATCCTGTCGCGGTCGAATGAACATCTTTGGTGGCAGCGAGAAATTTTTAACGCTCGCCATCCCCATCCCGAAGCGTTGCATCTGCGTTACCGCGAGCTAAATTTCAGAGGAATATAATCAAATACTTCTACATCGTGAGACCACTAGGAAAAGAGTAACTCCTCGACACCGTGCGTGTTAAGTCATCTTCTGAAGAACTCATCAAAATATCTTCGGTCTTGCAAAATTTTACAAATTTAACAGGTTCTTAAGGACGACTTAAACGCTCCGTCGTTGACGAAACGTCGTTTTAAGGTAAGCTCAGAAATAATTAATTAAACCAAGTGGATTTTTGTCTCACCCACTCGCAGTGTTCCAGTGCCAGTTTGTATTAACAAAGAAAAACTTTTTACATATATTGTAAAATATAGACAATCCGGTATGAGGCGTGGGGTCTTGGTTTCATATAGGTCTTTCAGCAAAGTGAGCCGGCAACAACACACTAGGCCATATGATCGCAGACAAGAGCAAGTTATGAAAATGTTATCGATCTAAAGTGCTGCGTCCCTGCTTAGTCTATTTTTTTAGAAGAATATTTAGTGAGAACCGAGAAAACTGAGTGTTACGAGATAATCTGAAGCCTTTTTCCTTTTTATTTTGATTATAAACTACCGTCTACGTGTTACATCCTGTTCGCATGTTAGAAATTGAAAGAGGAAACAGTTGTCACAAACACATGTTTCGAGGGGAAGATGTAAACGCTCCTAGCTTACTAAATGATACAAAACTTGGCAGGTATTTTCGGTCAGAGAAAAATTTAAGGCGACAAATCAAAATACGAATTCTTTAACACATTATTTGACTTCTTTTTAAAAAAATGTAGGTTAAATTAAGAACATAGCGTAACTGAATATTTATCAGCACACCTGTGGAAAATGAAAATAAGCCGAAATCCAGCTCGCACATACATTTTGGAATAAATGATCGTCTTCTTTGCTCTTTTTTTTGTCCTACATAAATTAACGAGTGAACCACATGCTCCTCGTTCTTGTTCGTCATAACTCGAGTCGGAAATTTAACGAAAATTTGAAATGAGATTGCCTAATTGCATTTGTTTGTTCCACATAAAATCATGAGTGCACCACGTGCTACCCGTTCGTGATTTTCATTGAAGGCATTTTGGGTGGCGAATATTTATCGATTAGTTTAGTTTGAAATGACAGAAGGAAATAGTCCAATATGAAAGAGAGAAAACATTTCAATTAATCCGAGTCATTTCGTTGATGCCATACCTCCTGACTGGGGTCAAAGTTCTACGGAGCATGCCCGAAGGTGTGGTTGCAAAAACAACATGGTGCGATCGGTAAGAAGTAAAGATCGTGTAGATTATTGTTGCTTCTAAAGGCAAAAGGAAATATAAACCCGGGGTAAAATTGTATCAAGTGGAAAGACTTGTCAGCAAGCGGAAATCGTCGAACAAAGTCTCGCATATCATCATGATAATTGTGCAGAGTTGCAAACAGTGGACTGCTGATTTTATGACTAGCGTATTTACGTGTACACTATAATAAATCACATTTGAATTAACAACCTTAAAATGCCCGGCTAAATTTCCAAAGTGGCTACCAAGCGTTTTCTATATTTTTCGCCTTGTTGTGACACATCCCTGATGAAAATCTTTGAAAGATCTTTAACGATCCTACAAGATCTTTACGAGAACCTTTAAAGATCTTCAAAATTCTTGTTAAGATCGATCTTCAAGGATATTTCATTCTCTTGCCAGGATCTTCAAGGATCTTCAAAGTTCTTGTCAAGATCTTCAAGGATCTTTCATTTTCTTGCCAAGATCTTTAAGGATCTTTCAATTGTCCTGTCAAGATCCACGAACAGTTTTTATGTCAAATATGCAGTAAACAGCTTGCGTGTCATCCTTTGTTTTCAAGGTGTCCGATCAGGTATGACTGAAAATGGCACCTCACTTTGATAGGAATCCTTTTGTTGTTGCTTCTAACTTCCTGAAATTATCACTTGAAATTCGCTCGCTAATGTAAAAAAAACAACAACAACAACGCGAGTAATACATATATATCCAAATTCTTTCATCACAGGAAAAGTTGTAGGACCTGATAGCATCTTAGGGACGGACCATTAGATTTTTGATACCGGGGAAGGGAGTATTGGGAAATAACCCCCGAAAAAAATCGAGCACGGGCTCAATGGAAGAAAACAAATCGTGCAATTGGCAAACCCCCCCCAAAATGGGTTTCATTCCGGAATGAAATGAATTTCATGCCACGTTGACATGCAAGATAATTTAGATTATAAAAACAGGTAGTAAAAACAAGTATTTACGTCCCTTTTCTATACTTCCCTCGCTCCTACAGAGGATTCATACAGATATGAGTGTCGTACCGCGTTTACATTATACAGGTACAAAAGGTCGTCCAGAATAAGTGTTTCTTTCTGGAATGAAAACCTCAGTTAACTCATTCAGAAATGACCTGTTTCGAATAATTTTACTCTGGTATCATGTGGCAACCGAGATAAACTCATTCTTGAACAAAACTCATCCCGATATTATGTAAAAGGCCCCTTGGAGTTTTTATTCCCAGAGCATCATGCTATGCTTTCCTGCCAGAACACTATAAATTTCAATAGCGTTGAAGCAACAACCCGCTTTGAACTGTTACGCTGCCACTGAAACAACGATAAGTGACCACAAAAGTAACATATTGTAATATTGTCAATTCAACATAAACAAAAATCTTCATACAGGGTAAATATTCATTTGTGTTGGTATCAATTACTGCGTGACTAACTTCTGATATAGCTGGGATAGGGGAAAACACAACGTAAAACCTGGGCTCCCGGCAAGAAGTAATACCCAAGCGTAATATAATGACTGAAACAGCTTATTGGTCTTATAAAATCATAAATAAACTAGGTAAGAGTGTTAAATTAGATTTTTTTTCAAATTGTAGCGATTTATGCCTCCATATGCCAATAAAAGGTGGCGACAAATAGACCCACCATGTATATTTCATAGTCGCTAGCAAATAAATTTTGCCGGACTTTGAGTTCATCTCACGATAGAACAACACAATTACACAAGAAAATTTTTACAGTAACCTTTTAACCATCCTTTTTTATTTTAAAAGCTAGAAGCTCAGTAGATTCTGTCTTATTGGTCATTGTTAAAACTGTCTTTGTTTTGATGCTACTTTCGACATAGAAAAAGTATGTCGGACAAAAATATTCACCAAAAGATAAATATTTTTGTGCCAGCCTCAATAATGTCATGGGATTAAGTTAAGATGATAAAACAAAGGATTGTGTCAACAGAAATACCGGAGGTCAAGTAAATTCGTTACATGAGGTCACACAACTCGGGTAATATTCAGAGTGAAAATTTGCATATTTGAGCGGTCGAACGAAAAAAAGTCATTTCTCAAAAACTAAAATATATTTTCACAAAAAACCTACACCACAATTATCGGGACATATTGGGCTACAAAATATGAAAGTAGGAGAGAAAACAAATTTGGGCGACTTGCCCCTGTTTGTCTGATGCATGTTGACATTAGCTCTTAACTGGCTTCTGGTTTTGTATCTATGTATCCCTCCCATTCTCAGAAGGGAAATAATATTTATTTTGCTACTGGGTAATATGTTGAACTGATGTTTACAACCATTTTCAATCACCTTTTTTTCAGGCCAGGATGACTTAAAAGAACAACTTTTTAAGAAGCATCAGTCTTCTTACAGTTGCTATGGCTACAGGAAGAAGTTCAATTAAAGTTCCATGTGAAAATGAAGACTTACCTGACAGAGAAAATGCACCAGATTTTGACGAGGACACTTTACGAGGTGAGCAAGGTTCAACTTCGGCTTCAGTAATTGTTAGAACAATTTCTAGTGGATCAGTTTCAAGGATGCCAGCAGATGTGGAAAAGGATATATACAGTGTATGACCGCTTTAAAGGATATTTGGCCAGTCATGACTCTCTTCTATGATTACAATATGCTGTTCATTGAGAAGATCTATGACACAGAAACCTTTGTTATTTTCTTTTCTAACAGTGCAGAGCAATAACACAAAGTTATAATAAGTTAAGACTTTATTTGATCATGATATAATATCCATTGTGTAAGTTTGCATCATCACCATCATCATCATCATCTTTCTATTTTAATGAAACATAATCACTTTGAAACCTTCAACATTCCCTCCTTTCTCCTCGAGCAACCCACAGGCATTTGATCTTCATCCAAGCCAAAGAGGGTGGGGAGGGAGGGGGGGGGGGGTTTAACCTTGCCTGACTGGCGTTAGGGAATTTGAATAAAAACTGTCACATCTAATTTCCAGTAGAGTACAAGTGTTAATTATCATTGAATATGGAGGTGTTTAAGGCAGATAGTGCACTTTCACTAACAAATGTCTCAGAAGAAATAAGGCTTCAAGGTCTAGGTTTTAAAGCTTGGTCAATTAGTTTTTAAAGCTTGATCAACTAGTTGAAAGTGAAATTGCTAATTATTTCGCCTTTTACATAAGATTGTGTGGGGCATTTTAATATTTTATTAATTTTGCTCAGGGAATAGGAATTTTAGGAAACCTATCTCCAAAATCTCTCATCTCCAGGGGTTTGCCTCAAGTTGAGTGATGCTTAATTCTCATCATTATTCTTACCCATGTTGTCACCTACATCATTAGCATCATTATAACTATTGAAAATCTGCAGATTTGAAATCTCCAGATCTTGGCAGCTCTGACTCTACACGAATAATTATTAACTACGACCACAGACTTTGACACCCATTTTTAAATTTTTTTTCGAATTATTTTATTTTTTCTTTACAGCCACAGTTGATGTTTATAGGAATGAGGGTAATGAGGCCTTCAAGAAAGGAGATTTCATCAATGCTATTCATTTTTACACCAAAGGAATTAAAATGAACTGCAATGACAAAGAACTGAAGGCCAAACTGCACAACAACAGGGCAATTGTACATTCTAAACTTGGTAAGACGATGAGAGCTTTAATATGCATTTTTTTCTATTTTGAAGCTATTGAGTTGTCAGTAGTAGTTTTCTGAAAAAGGTGATAATTTTGAATGCATGCCCGGAAAATTTTACATCTTATCTTGGCCTCTCAAATATACAAAGAAGTAACCTCTTACCCCAGATATCAATGAGCATCACAAGTTTTTCCCAAAATTCTAGTAATGGTAGTTGGTTTGCAACATGTATGGCTAATCAGAGATATTTATTTCAATAACAGGGAATCACCAGAATTCACTAAGGGATGCAGAAGCAGCCATAGAGTTAAATCCAGTTTTCCTTAAGGCAATTGTGAGAGGTTAGATATGTTAGCTGTGCTATAATAATAGTCATAAAAAAGAACTCAACACTCTAAAGTTAAATGAGGTTAAATGGAGATCAATCTTGTCTCAATTGACTTTAATTAAGAGGTCGAGACCACCCTGATGTACATTTGAATCCAGCTCTTGACTGTTACGCCATTACTTTGCATTAATCATGATGAGAATATTATTTTGAACGGGATGAAGAACCCAAAGCAGAATGCAAAGCAAAATTTCAGCATGAAAATTTTAGTTCCTTAAGTTCAATGAGTCACAGGTGTCAGATATGTTAAGAGCGTGTCCACGAGAGCACCGGGCAGTCGTGCTACATGCCATCTCACCGATTTCAATGAAACTTTATCAGTTTAAAGGGTCTACCCCAAAACTCAAAAAGACAGACTGGTTTCTGTTTTGGTTTTTTCCGGGGGGAGATAGACCACCCCACGGTTTTTCTTGGTTTTCACCAAGAAAATCGCTTCAAATAGGTAAAAGAAGCTCTCACTACGATGGTATTCAACCGATTACTTTGAGGATTTGCACACATATTTTTACATCCTTGGTTAATGTCTGTTGCGAGTATCAGTTTGATTAACGGCTTGTCAATCAACAGAGGCAAATATACGACTGTGTTTTTAGACTTTTCGATTCATCCAAATATTTGACAACTTTGAGGTCAAATATCTCCCGTTGCCAGAAAGCTACAACACTAATCTTAATTACCCTTTATAACCCATCATTTCATCTCTGAAAATCATTTGTCTTGGATGCCTTTTAAAATCTGCGACTGTGACAAGTTTCTCTCAACTACACCTGTCACGCAATTCTTGCTCTTGGCGGTCACTTGACAAAATAAACCTACATTTTTTAGCTCTTTATACAAGATGATTGATTAAGAAAGGTGAAAAATGTGAAAAAACTTTCGAGAAAAACTTTCGAGATGCATGTAGACGAAAAATCAATGGGAAAATCGTAGCGTTTCTTTCTTCAGTCGTTTATTACTTTGAAGATTTGCTTAAATGAGTAGATATGGCTTTTGTACGGCACAAAACATTCATTAGTCTATAATTTCATCATTGCTCATTTTAGGAGATTTTAAAGTCACATGCTGCGTGTTGGCTGATATTACTACATGTTCCAGTGTGATACAACTTCGGCTTTCACAGACGAGAAATTCTGCGCTCTCGCTCGAAAGCAAATATAAATTGTTCTATCGGACTAAAAACTGTGCTTCTATCCTGAAAATAAAATTCAAATAGTGTTGTCGTTGTCACTTACCGCCATCGAAAATTTCCATGCAGAACTCCGCTAAGCTAACATCTGTTGTGTGACCCGAAGACTCTCCGTGGGAATTATTCAAGCGCGTTGTTCATGCTGTCTGCTAGATAACAATTTCAGAATAATCTGCAGATCTCTATGATTATTTGCCTGCTTCGATTGTAAAATATCCGCATATTTTTTTCAAGCATTCTGTTACTACATATAAATCCACATTTCTCTAGATCGAGTGTTGCCGGGTTTAATTGCGTGACTTGTAAAATTTTAAAATAAGAATGATCCAGCAGTAATTTGACGAGTAGCCTTCCTGCAAATCTCCTTTGATGAAATCCTAAGACATAGCCAGTTGTTTTCGTGAGCAAAGACAATAAATATGAAAGAAAAGTGAGGTGCAAATGTCTTTTTTTTTTTTTAGCTTAATAGCAGCTGTACCCTCTCCTGCAGTCTTCGTCTAAATTTTGTAAGGTCCCTCCTTATCTTCTGCCTTGTTTGGTCAGTTTCGAATTCTGAAGCTAGATCATTGGCATCGGCCTCTCCGTCCTCATTCATATTTACAGAGGGGTACCTCATCAATAAACCATTTTTGTTACGGCGGATAACCGGCTGAAGTATCGAGTGATTTGCTGCTGTATCAACCGGTTAGTCTTAGACAACATTTCTGGCTGGTGTCGTCTCTTAAACTCGATATTTGGGAGGTCACATTAGAGGCGGTTGCCTTACTAGCTTCCTCCCTTGTCCAGCACACGTCTAGGAGATAATTCTCTGCTTTCTGAGAAAAGGTGGCTGTTTTTTGTGTTTTACAAAGAGTCCATCCAAAGTCCACTTGGCTAGTTAGGGATCGTTCGTCACAATTTTACCTGAGGTCCTTTCTTGAACGTAGCCATCCCTGTAGAATGGCAAGCCGGTCTTAGTCCATTTCCTCTTGATCTTATCCTAGGCGGAATTTTTTTGTCGGCTTCACTGCGTTTGTCTTTGTCAGGGTACATTTGGATAGCAGCCAATGACTGAAACGTCTTGATACATCCTTCTTTTAGCAAGAATATCTCGCTTTCTTGTTCCGTCTATGACGGATTGGGTATAGTCCTCGCGATGACCTGCGTTCAGAAATCTGTGCACGTTGCTGATAACCACCCACTTCCACGATTAGTTTGCTGAAGGTTTCTAATGTGATGAGCCTAGTGAGACCCTGAGGTGCTTCAAACCGTGCCAGTTGGTCTGCGCTATAAACTTGTCGCAGTTCTTAAGCCAGAGGGAGGATCGCCCACCTCTATCTATGTGAGCGCCTCTACAGTACCTGCGTATCCCCAGCAATCATATGATATAAAGTTCATCTCAGTCACAAATCACCAGTTAGGAAAACTGATGTTCAGATAAGCGCTCTTCTTGCCCTTCTTCCTTATTCATTGCCGACTCTAAGATAGCAGCTACAGTACGCGTTCTATTTAGGTTTACAGTCACCTTGCCGCCACCAAGAAGACTCGCCACCAGCTTTGATTTCTTCTGCCATCTGCAGATTCATTTCTCTCTCACGTTATGTCTCCGATTTTTATGAGGAGGATACTGGCATTTACGAACCTGAAGGTCTGAATCTTACACCAAGTTGTGCACGATATTTGAGGTACATCGTGAAATCGCGGCCTTCGTAATCTCCAAATAAGCCAATACGCGCTAGAATAAGCTCCATCTCGGACGAAACGCATGTTTGGGATACACCGACGTCTCTCAAATGTTTTTTTTTTAAGCTGTATACCCACGAATTTCGAGGTATGAGCTGTTGCCGTCCCTGTCCAACTCGAGAAAAATGAGTTGCAAATGAACAAGACAACTGCACCATCTTGACTTTATCAATTCGAGTGTTAGATTGAACTGAGAGCTTTTTAGACACTCGATTTCTTATATGGCATCACTATGAAGACGTAATACAACTGATACACCTACACTACATAGGATTAACAATGTCTGTTGCGCTGTTGCGAGAAGGAGGAAAATATTACCGGAAGTGTAAACTCTTTTTAAAAAGAGTTTCAGAGACGTTTCAGAGATGTCTATCTTTTATCGGCTGTCACAAAAAAATGACCCCCACTTAAATTTACCAGGAAAAATGAACTTACCAACTCCTTGTTGAAAAAATTGGGATTCATTTGACCGATAAGCCGGTTGTTTCAATTTTGCTTTTTCCTCGAGCTCCTATAAAACAGTTCATGACTAATGAATAAAATGTTTTGAAATACCGTTCGGAATTTGCCTTTATTTTCTGCGTGCAAATCAAGGGTAGACAAAGTTTTTAAAACATTTGACTAGAATTTCATGGAGTTCACCTCGATAATTTTCATCGGCCAGAGTCAAGACGCGCCAAGGTAAGCGACACCACCCTCCAGTAAAATAATTTTCCAAAGAATAAACGTGGCGAGCGTGAGGAAACGCACATTTTTTTATCATTGTGATCAAAGCCCAATGATGTACCTAAATTGGTACTTACGGTATCAAACCATTGATTATGACAGGGTGAGCTTAATTTTTCTGTCGAGGTCGACGTGACTTCACATTAAAAGCGTTTTTGACGGAACAAACTAGTGAGCATCACTGCACGAACTGAGAAAGTAAAAACTTGTATTTATCTCCCACGTATTTCGTCTGACAATAGTAGACTTTATCAAGGATTTTTTCAAGTAGGGTAGACAAGCTTGCTCATATACAAGTAGTAAATAAGTTGTCTCTTTGCTATTGAAGCCAGTGGATAGAATTCGCCAGGTGCGCGTACGATGTTATGCATGCATGACATTTTCCGGACGTTACATGTACGAGTACGTGATCCGTTTGAGGGTCACAGATTTAGTGTAAATATTTCACCCTTCAACATCACGCAATGTCTCTAGTTTACAGAAGTCTTAGAACGTTTAATTACATGGAGTTGCCTTCTGCAGGTAGAAGGCTACAAGCGAATTTCTCAGGCGTCATTGCCTTTGATTTCTCAATTGATGTTGTCGCAAACACAGTTTTTGGGAGTCACGAGACAAAAAAACTTATCAGGACCTAGTTTCATGTTCTAATGGAAATAAATAGCAAATAAAAACACATTTTCTTGAGAAATAAAGTCACAAATGACGGGGGTTCTCTGAAACAAATAGTGATAGAAAAGGATTTCAGTTCTGGTCAATATTGACTTTTCATGGCCTACTTCCAAATCTGAGGGAACGTGCTGAGGGAATATAAAAACATAAATGTGTGATAATGCAAGCAAGAGAGTGAAAATCCAAATGAAGAAAAAACGTGTTGCAGCGTGCAGATATCTTTTGAGCCACAAAATCTACACACCTAAGCCCGACACCACCCAGAAAAACTCGAAAGAGTCCTGTATATGAACTAGCTCGCACGTGCACGCAGGAAAGGCCATGACAATCAGCGAAAATAATAGCAAATGCAGATGATATTTGCAGTCACAAATTAGGAAAATAAGATAACAGAAGGTTTAGGAACCTCCTAGAATTTCCTTCTTGAAAAAAAAAAGATGAACGATTTTTACTTCTCATGAAAGGTCACGCAGTAACCCTACAAATACTATTCCTTTACGTGGAATTTCTTGATGGTGGAAAGTGGAAAAAACATTTTCCAGTCTTATTTTCTGGAAACATGGCGTAGTTAATGAATTTATGGGGCTATTGATATTTCCTAACAAATAAGGGGGGGCAGAGTTTCCCGTCATTCGCGTTAAGGAAAAGCCGAAGTTGTTACACTCGGGAACTTGTGCGTCAACAAGCAGGCGACATGTGACTTTAAAATCTCCTTTCCTGTTACAGTTTCCTTATTGTAAACTGTGCGATAATGATAATAGATGATCAAAGTATAGGCTAGTGAATGTTTTGTTGTGTAGAAAAGCCCTATGTCCTGAATTTAGCAAATCTTCAAAGTAATAAACGACTGAAGAAAGAAACGCAACGATTTTCCCATTGATTTTTCATCAACATGCATCTCTCTAAACGTGAGATTTTCCATTCCTACAAAAAATCTCGAAAGTTTTTCACATTTTTCACCTTTCTTGATCAATCATCTTGTATAAAGAGCTAAAAAATGTTGGTTTATTTCGTCAAGTGACCGCCTAGAGCAAGAAGTGCGTGACAGGTGTAGTGGAGAGAAACTTGTCACAGTCGCAGATTTTAAAAGGCATCCAAGACAAAAATACGGTAGTGCCCAAAGATTTTTTTGATGAATTTCAGAGATGACATGATGGGTTATAAAGGGTAATTAAGATAAGTGTTGTAGCTTTCTGGCAACGGGAGATATTTGATCTCAAAGTTGTCAAATATTTGGATGAATGAAAAGTCTTAAAACACAGTCGTATATTTGCCTCTGTTGATTGACAAGCCGTCAATCAAACTGACTGATACTCGCGGCGACCATTAACTAAGGATGTAAGAATATGTGTGCAAATCCTCAAAGTAATCGGTTAAATACCATCGCAGTGAGAGCTTCATACAATTTACCTATTTGAAGCGATTTCCTTGGTGAAAACCAAGAAAAACCGGGGGGTGGTCTATCTCCCCCCGGAAAAAACTAAAACAGAAACCAGTTTGTCTTTTTGAGTTTAGGGGTAGACCCTTTAAACTGGCAAAGTTTCATTGAAATCGGTGAGATGGCATGTAGCACGACCGCCCGGTGCTCTCGTGGACACGCTCTTAAGTCACTATCTAGCTGTTTTAAAAAGAAGGATCAGGACTTACCTAACTCTTAGTGTTTTTGTGGGAGTTGTTGATCCCAATTTAAGTGTTCTTAGAAGTTTCAGTTGTCTGTAAAGCTAAATAAATCTAACTGAAACCTAATAGGGCCTGTTTATTCTTTACCGTTTAGTTTTTTTGTATTGTTTTGTTTTGTCTTTTTTTTTTTCTTCTGGTCTGTAATGATTTCAATGGTTTCAGGTTCTTTTCTTAGAATTGAGCTACAGTAAAGTATGCTTCTTTGTGTTGTTACCTACAGGAGCCACTGCTTGTGTTGAATTGAAGAGATTTGAAGAAGCAATCACTTGGTGTGATAAGGGACTAGCTGTATCCTTTGAAGGAATCTTTCATTTTTAACCGTCGGTATAATGGAAATAGTTTCCATAATTTGATGTTTAAAGGGTATTAATTATGATGGGAACTTGTCAGCTCATATACTTTAAGTGTGTGTGATTAAAAACATAGGAGAAGTTATTAATGAAATTACTCCTTTTAGCCAATTTGACTCAGTTATACTATCCATGCCAACAACTGGTACATTAGTTTAAATAACCCTTTAATTTCCCAAACCAAATTTGTAATTATCCTTACTGTCAACCATACAATTCTTGTAATGTTAGTACAGAGAATTCAGTATTGCATCAACTAATTATTTTCAAATTGATATATATTTTTTTACTCTCAACACTTATCTGATTGATATTGTATTGCTATTGTAAGGAGAAATTCTCTTTTGGTCACTCACGGGAGTTAAAGGGTTAGAAGACTAATATTCATCCAGTTTATACATGGTACTTGGGTAGATGATCTCTCTAAAACAAGCTTGAACAAAAAGCTCGGTAATGTTTACATATCTTATGCAGATTTTCTTGCCTTCGACCTTTTTCCGTCCTGCTTTCCTATCGACAAATAATAATTTTAAAGACATGTATTTGTGTTGTAGACTCATTTCTTCCACTGCTGTAAAACATTTGTCTGATGTTAAAGCTATATTAATTAAAAAATTGAGCAAGTGCTGCTCAGTTTTTGGAAACTTGGGATTAAATGTAGATATTTCGCGTTAAATTTTGAGGCTGCACACAGAAAAAACATTTTTTGAAGTGTAGATTTACTTCATAACTGACTTTAAGACTGAATGTTGATAAATCATCTACCTTTCATGCAAAGCCCTCCTAATGGGCCATTTTATAGTTGTTTACTTAGTTGCCAAGCCTTTGATATTTGGAGTGAGGCTGAAGGTGACCTTGTTGTGATAGAGACTGGTATCTAGAAACGATAATAACAAAGTAGTTTGCATTTAAAAAGCAACAATGTTTTTATCATAACAAGGTCACCCTTAATCATCGCTCTTGTTCAGAGGCTTGGGAACCAAGCACGCAAATGTTAAAATGGCCTATTACATATCAATATGATAAGAAACATAATCTTTTTTGTTTTTTCCACATTTTTAACCCTTAACATAAAAAAGATTGACAAAAACAACAGGATCTTGTTGTCATTAAGACTTCAGTCTTTCAGTGAAGTGGGAGATAAGTCCATGGAGGAAAAAGATCCTATTAGTCATGACCACGGTAGTGCAAGTTCAGGTGATGTCAAGAAAGTCATAGATCTCTATAATCGGGGAGAAGAAGCCATAGAGTACCTCAACCTATATCTTAAAAAAGCTAAAGAAGTAGGAGACAAGCATGAGGAGGGTAACGCTTATGGCAGTCTTGGCAATGCTTATGGCCGTCTGGGTGATTTCAAAAAAGCCATAGAGTACCACAACCTACATCTTAAAATAGCTAAAGAAGTAGGAGACAAGCATGGGGAGGGTGGTGCTTATGGCAATCTTGGCAATGCTTATTTTAGTCTGGGTGATTTCAAAAAAGCCATAGAGTACCACAACCTACATCTTAAAATAGCTAAAGAAGTAGGAGACAAGCATGGGGAGGGTAAAGCTTATGGCAATCTTGGCAATGCTTATCACATTCTGGGTGATTTAAAAAAAGCCATAGAGTACCACAACCTACATCTTAAAATAGCTAAAGAAGTAGGAGACAAGCATAGGGAGGGTAAAGCTTATGGCAATCTTGGCACTGCTTATCACATTCTGGGTGATTTAAAAAAAGCCATAGAGTACCACAGCCTACATCTTAAAATAGCTAAAGAAGTAGGAGACAAGCATGGGGAGGGTAACGCTTATGGCAATCTTGGCAATGCTTATCACAGTCTGGGTGATTTCAAAAAAGCCATAGAGTACCACAACCTACATCTTAAAATAGCTAAAGAAGTAGGAGACAAGCATGGGGAGGGTAACGCTTATGGCAATCTTGGCACTGCTTATGACATTCTGGGTGATTTCAAAAAAGCCCTAGAGTACCTCAGCCTACATCTTAAAATAGCTAAAGAATTAGGAGACAAGCATGGGGAGGGTAAAGCTTATGGCAATCTTGGCACTGCTTATTTTAGTCTGGGTGATTTCAAAAAAGCCATAGAGTACCACAGCTTACATCTTAAAATAGCTAAAGAAGTAGGAGACAAGCATGGGGAGGGTGTTGCTCATGGCAATCTTGGCAATGCTTATTTTAGTCTGGGTGATTTCAAAAAAGCCATAGAGTACCACAACCTACATCTTAAAATAGTTAAAGAAGTAGGAGACAAGCATGGGGAGGGTGGTGCTTATGGCAATCTTGGCAATGCTTATCGCAGTCTGGGTTATTTCAAAAAAGCCATAGAGTACCACAACCTACATCTTAAAATAGCTAAAGAAGTAGGAGACAAGCGTGGGGAGGGTAACGCTTATGGAAATCTTGGCACTGTTTATGAAAGGCTGGGTGATTTCAAAAAAGCCATAGAGTACCACAGCTTACATCTTAAAATAGCGAAAGAAGTAGGAGACAAGCATGGGGAGGGTGTTGCTCATGGCAATCTTGGCAATGCTTATTTTAGTCTGGGTGATTTCAAAAAAGCCATAGAGTACCACAACCTACATCTTAAAATAGTTAAAGAAGTAGGAGACAAGCATGGGGAGGGTGGTGTTTATGAAAGGCTGGGTGATTTCAAAAAAGCCATAGAGTACCACAGCTTACATCTTAAAATAGCGAAAGAAGTAGGAGACAAGCGCGGGGAGGGTAACGCTTATGGCAATCTTGGCAATATGTATCGAACTCTGGGATATTTGATAAAGGCCAACAATTATTACCAGCTAATGCTTAAAATTGCTAAAGAAGTAGGAGACAAATCCTTAGAGGCCAAGGCCTACTATTCAGTAGATGTGTTTTTGAGTCGCTTGGTAGACTGCCTAAAGCTGTTGTTTATTATCAAGCTAGCATAAACTTATACAATTTCTTAAGAGTACTTCTAAAATCTAAAGATGAGTGGAAAGTTCATTTTCGAAATCAGTATCAGATGGCGTATACGGATTTGTGTAGAGTTCTCGTAGAACAAGGTAATATAGATCAAGCCTTACTTGCTGCTGAGCAAGGACGAGCTCAAGCTCTGACCGACCTTATGGAATCCAGTTTTTGTGGTGAAGCAAGTCAGCACAAAGGCGATGAAGATTTAGCAGTTTATGAAAACGTTCCATCAAACACTGTCTTTCAGGCAGTGGACAAAGCTAACGTCAATCTTTGGGTTGTGTCCGAAGGAAAACAAGTTCAGTTAAGACAAAGTAAACTCAATGGTTCTGTTTCAGAGAAAAAAAAGCTAGCCAGTCCCTCGAGGCGTTCGTGCTTGGTGCTCGCTTTAATGTGCGATGCGAGAATCCATTTTGGATGCTTTGAGCACTTTGTATGATATCGTTATGAAGCCGGTGGCTGACCTGGTTCAAGGGGATGAGCTAGTCATTATTCCCGATGGACCCCTGTGGCTTGCTCCTTACGCTGCATTGAAGGATGGTAATTCTAAATACCTGTGTGAATCTTTCAGAATCCGACTCGCTCCATCGTTAACAAGTCTTAGACTCCTTGCCCATTGCCCAGATGATTATCACAAAAGCAGTGGTGCGTTACTTGTAGGAGATCCGTGGGTATCCGAGGTTACTAACAGCGAGGGAGAGAAAGTCTTCGAGCAGCTTCCGTGTGCTAAAGAAGAAGTAGAAATGATCGGAAAAATTCTGAATATCACGCCAATCACTGGCAGACAGGCCACGAAGCATGAGGTGTTGAAAAGACTCAGTTCCGTTTCCTTAGTTCACTTTGCGGCACACGGATGTCTGGAAACTGGCGAAATTGCTCTTACACCTGACCCAGACCGAATACCTACTGTGCCTACGGAGAATGAGGATTACATTTTAACGATTCGAGACGTGTTGAATGTTCAAATTCGCGCCAAACTTGTTGTGCTCAGTTGCTCCCACAGTGGTTGGGGCGAAATCATGGCTGAAGGTGTGGTTGGTATCGCGCGCGCTTTTATGGGGGCTGGTGCTCGCTCTGTTCTGGTGTCCTTGTGGGGGATTGACGACGAGGCTACTATCGAGTTCATGAAAAGCTTTTATCACTACCTTGCAGAAGGTAAACCTGTGAGCGAGTCACTGAACCTGGCCATGAAAAGCCTCAGAGAATCAGACAAGTTCCGCGACATCAAATACTGGGCGCCCTTTTCGCTGATTGGAGATGACGTCACTTTTGACTTCATGGCAAAGGAAAGAGACAAGTGAAATGTAAAATCACATAGATGAAAAATTGCTTTTTTTCCTTCATCTCAAAAAGAATGACGCAGGAACTTGGAAGGTTTAAATGTTTCTCTATTTTGGCAATTTTGTGTTATTTTTCATTAGTCTTAGTTTACTTTTTCGTTAAATGGAACTTGAGATGTGCAACTTTACTATGGTGAAGAAATAAACCAGTCTATTTCATTATATTTTGATCAGTGGAATTGTCATTTTTTGTTACCTTAACAAATTTACATGCTTGCGAAGAGAACAAAATGCAACAAGGCCTCTGTTATGAACGAGGTTTCCATTTCCACCAACATGTCACCCAGCTCTGTTCCTGTATTACAATCAGTTGTATGGAAAATAATTTAAAGTTTATTTCTTTTACCCAACCAGGGGCTTTTCCACCGGATTTTAATTACCTTTATGCTCTAAGCTTTTGATAAGCAAAGAAACAATTCGTCATTTACAAAAGTTGGCGAATTTTTGTTTCCAAAACTTTGATTGAATATGTATGTGAATTGAATATGTGAATTGATCTTAGACCGTTTTCTACATCATAAATTACTTTGTTACAATTTACCTACATCTTTACAAAAAAATGGATTACCATTTTGAACTCAATCCATTTTAATGCAATCTAGTTCTGTCAGTGCCAAGATAGCCATTCTAAGCTTAATTTGAAGAAGTAAACATCAGAGATGATGTTATTAAATTTACTAACCATATGTTAGAGACATTACACCTACTTTTAGGGGTGTAGCCAGCCTCTAGTCCCGTAGGCCCGGCCTACAATTGTTTTCTGCCCGCTTGACTTTTACTAAAAGATAATATGACTCTTGCAAATGTTGAATCAAAAATTGAAATTTGTGAGGGAAGAGGCTTACATTTAGTCAAAAAGCTGGCTACAACCCTGTTTTCAATCAAACGAGTGTGGCCGATTTTTGTCCGTTTTACCAAACACTTCTCCGTTCGTTTTAAAGAACGACGACAGTGAGGCTAAAAATTGTCCATATAATCTAAACTAGGAAAGAGGGACGCAGAGTTCACTATAATTAAGGTTTCCATAGGTGTGACTTTTATTGTATGTGACATGGAATTTGTTGTTTCCAGTACGACAATATTTACGCTCATAAATGAGAGAAGCAGTTAACGTAAGCCATGTAGTCCTCATTGGGAATTATTTTGGTGAAAAGGCTCATTAATTAATGTAAACCTAGTGCGTATTTGAATTCGCTCAGGGCTTCAGGATAAAACTTCTAATTGTTGAAAATCACCTCTTGAATTTTTTTCATCGCTTTAAATTTACCTCAGCATGACTTGAGGATGTCTGATAATATGCGTGGTTGAATATAATGTAACTAGGATTTTAAAGACATGCTGGGACAGTTTCAACTAAACATGGTTTGTACAATGTCAGTGTATTTCGTGTGAAGTGTTTTGATGCTTTTTTTTTAAGTTGAAGATAATTGTTCATTTACCTTAGTTTATATTGATTAACTCATGAACTCCCAAGTTCTGAAGAAAAATTCTCCCAACTGATAAGAATGTGTTTCTCTTTGCTGCCGCTTGTTCCGAGAATTCGATGTAATATTATGTTTCTAGGAAAAGGTTATCCTCCAGTTTGGATTTTCTCGAATTGTTATTGACTCCATGTTTGTCGGTGTATTAATACCGTGAGGAGAATTTAAATTGTGATCAGTCTTGGGAGTAAATGGGTTCATTTTAGCGTCTCCGTTTAGCGCGTATTTTACTTAATGCCTTGAACGATTTAATGCAGTTTCTATTGTACTTATATATTTTTTACTTCTTTGTGTAAGAGAAATATACAGTGTATAAAATACAAAGCTGCGTTGATTTACATTGTCTGTCTCCATATTCTTAGGATGCACGTAAGATGTAGAGAAAGCAGATCCTATGGGGACTTCAATACTTGTTTTGACCCGCGCACCAAGTTGATAATGTGTGCAGCTAACAGTGTACTATCATTCCATGTTTCAAGCCCCCGCCCACTTAACAAAAGTGCATCATCTCTTCGATTGTGTCTCTTTCACTGTCTATCGTTCCCCGTATTGCCACACGGTTTTTGAACGCCAACGGACGTGTTCATACTGTTACATATCTGCGCCTTTTCTTTATCTTTTTCCTCACACAAGTTTTTACACCTTTTCACAATTGCGCATCCTTTTTTTTTCTCCTTCCTCTGGTTCCTTCCCTTTTTTTTTTTTTTCATCGCAATTTTCTTTTATTCCCATCTTTACGCGCACCTCTTTTATCGCCCTCAACTTTATTCTTCTGCGCTTCCTAGGGCGCGACTATCTCCTGTCGGTTTCAGTTTTCACTCGTCCCAATCTTCGCGCAACGTCAGGCTTCTTACAACTCATATACCTCGTTACTCCCCCATAGTAGTTGTGATCATGCGTATTATGTCCACTTTGGGATGGTGTCCTCCTAAAGTCATCTCTAGTAAATCTCAGTTTTCCTTTCGATTGATTCCTAGTCCACAGGGTGCCAGTGCTTGCTCTCCTCACTCCTCTCATCATAATAGCAGTTATAAAGCGGAAGAGCTCCCTCCAAGTCTCGGCGACACAATCGGTGCATTTAGTTGGAAACGAGTCCCTCAATGTCCAAATTAAGTGCCACTCTCGCTAAGAGCGGTCCTCTCGACTTCCCGTCGGAAAAAAGTTTTCTTTTATTTTTTGCCCATGAAAAGGGTTTAGGACACATGTTTCAAGAATAGTTTAGTTTTTCTCCAATTCTCTTTTTTTGCCTCGCCACAAGCCAAAAATCATTTTTGGCCAGACCACCCCTGTGAACAGCGATCGAAAATTTCAATTTCAAAGATTTTGTCTAGCGCGCAGCGACTGCAACAATGTAGCTCACGGAATTCTATCTTGCTACAAGTTACAAGATGTATTCAGTTAGTTCACAGACAAAATATGGAAACTTCAGCTGAAATATTTTTCATACCAGCGTGATCAGAGGAGACCCTGCTCTTCGACCTTAATTTGCATATCAAAAATTCACTACTTTGTACGAAAGAATTCTCAAAATGCAGGCGTTAATCGGGCCGAAAAAGCATATCAGTGCATATTTTATACACCAATGAGGTCACGGATTGCCTCAAACCCGCGGGTATATCTCTAGCTTCCATCCACCAACTTCTTAAAAACAACGCAAATCCATGTGTTTGCTCAATTGCGCTCGTGTCAAAGATCATTTGCATGATTCTTGGAATTGACCAAGATCTCCTTTTGACAGTTCAAACTTCGTTCGTTTATCTTCTACGTTAAGGATTTTAGGTTTTCACAGCTAGTGAATGGCGATTAGATGCCGAGTTGTCCTCGGGCTTTTTCGGCCCGATTAACGCCTGCATTTTGAGAATTCTTTCGTACAAAGTAGTGAATTTTTGATATGCAAATTAAGTTCGAAGAGCAGGGTCTCCTCTGACACTTTGACACTTTCGATCGCTGTTCACAGGGGTGGTCTGGCCAAAAATGATTTTTGGCTTGTGGCGACGCAAAAAAAGAGAATTGGAGAACAACTAAACTATTTTTGAAACATGTGCCCTAAACCCTTTTCATGGGCAAAAAATAAAAGAAAACTTTTTTCCGACGGGAAGTCGAGAGGACCGCTCTTAGCGGGAGCGGCACTTAAGGCCTCTTCTATCATCTGATTGGGAATGGGTCAAACTCTCGCCCAGGTCCACCTACATTGCGAATCCAAGATGGCGGCAGGCTAATCCACAGTCCTACTGAGTCGGTAGCCGCCATCTTTAATGTACACGCAGAGAAGACCCTGGGGAAGAGTTTTGGCAAAACAATAATTAAGAAAGGATAAGTTACAATAGTGCCTAG